GTGCGCTGTTTTATGTAGGAGCAGGTTGGAAGAAAGCTAGGGGAGGCTAGACCAAAACATGGCACAAATCCATAAAGTCACTGACAAGTGGACTGAGCCATGTTGGTAGGTATAAACTACCTGGTTGGGATCCGCGAGATGATAGCAACCGATGGTTAGGGACCTTGAATGACATAGCTCAAAATCGTTTGCAATGGCGCAGGTGCATCCACTCTTTGTGTTCTCCCAAATTCTAATCTTCTGAATCCTTCATGTCCCTTTTCTCCTATTTCCAAATTTATTTCACTGTATTATACTCCTTGAATAACATCTTCAAACCCTAATCTTTCCGATTAGTGCTTATACTCTTACTACCTCTACCGCTGCGGCATTTGAATCGGCAACTGCATCTCTGTGCTAATGTGATATGACAACTCAAACTGATGTACGTACGTACGAATTTCTACGTTGTTGCTGACTGACTGAAGTCTAAGTTTCCACAAACTACGTTAGCACTTCTATGAATTAGTAGTTTTTTATACTGCATAAACAATATCAGATGAATTTCTATCCAGGAGAGTTAAAGACAATCCACAAATGTGACGTTATACTAAATTGTTATAGTAATAAATTACATACATACATTTTCATTTCATGATATAATTCAATTGCGACACAAGAAATCTCTCAGAATTATTTTGATGTCTTTATCAAGTATAAGTCTAGGTACTCAGCTTTCAGCCACACCGTTTGTGTAAGAGCTGGTGATGCTATCCGACTGCTTAAACTGACGTATACGGAGCAGAGTTCAAACCCATAACATATCATTCAGTCAGCTACAATGTAGGACCATGCACATATGTGCATCCGTCCAAATTGCCATACCTCATTAGCACAACAAGATGAAAGCCGGATTCATAGAAGTTGTTAATTCAGTGGTGATAATATATAAAAGAAAGATTGCATATAAGGACATAGTACGGGAAGAAAGAATTAGTTCGTAGAAAGAAAGATATGAAGCGATTTCAATCTACCTGTAACATACAGTTGAAAGCTGTACAGCTACTACTCCTTTACCATAAACGCATTTTACCAGCAGTATGAACTTCTTTAAATAAGGAGGAAGAATATATATTTGTACAATCTCAGCGAATGAATTTTAAGTAAATCCAACGTTTCGCCTGACAAACTGGTCCAAGCTTTTTCAAGGAAAATATAATCAAACAACAAAATTATCGAATATAAATAGGTACATGGTTCTCTGGTTTACTGTATACTGAATAAGTTATCCAATCAACGCTAGCGATGTTAAAGTATGTATTTACATTAGTGTGTAAGAGATAAGTGGTGTGAGACGAAAAGTGTTAAGATAACAAACTGTGTGTATACGTAAGTGATGTGAGAAGAAATTTCATTCAACCATATATTGTTTTCGGTTTGTGTATGTTAAGGAAAACATATCATTTTATATATGAAATGAATCAAAATGTTACAGCATGCATTAAATGAAGATAAATAAGTAAGTAAACAAGGTAAAAGACTAAATTCAAAGAGGAATGTATTTGTAATTGAAAGATTGTGTTATTTTAATGTTCCAGTCAATTGTTTGACATATTCAGATAAGCTAACTGATTCGAAACCGTTGATTAGTTAATATGATATAAACTAATCAAATGAAATAAGGAGTTCAGGTTTACTTATTAATTATTAGTTGCCATGGGACAGCTAGTTGTATTCCATCTCTCCCATTAATACTGTTTGAATTAGCCCATATATGTGGGGCTTCGGCTGTTAGTCGTTCTTTGTAAGAATTAAACCCTTTTTGAATGATTCTTGCGCCATTGAAATAAACTGTATGACCCGATTCAATCGAGTGTAATGCCGTCGCCGATTTGTTCTCAAGCTTTCTTACATCATCCGAGGATTTAGGAATGTGCTTTAAGCACAGTTTTTGTTCCTTCACCCTCACACTCACTTGCCTTGATGTTTCACCTACATACGTTGCATTACAGTCATTACATTTTATTTCATAAACACAATTCTGTTGTTCATCCTTGTGTATTGGATCTTTGAGTCTTACTAGTTTCGATCTTAGAGTATTGTTTGTTCGAAAGAATACTCTTATATTTTGAAGTTAAAATCCTTCTTATCTCTTCTGAAATACCTTTACGGTATGGGATCACAACTGTGTTAATCCATTCTTTTTGTTTAACTCTTTTTTTAATAATATCATTTTGTTCTCCATTCTTAATTATTCATTTAATAAAACCCTTCGGATAATTATTCATCATTAGTGTGGATACAATTAAATTCATTTCCATTTTTACATCATTTGGTTCAGTGACAAGTTTCTTGACTCTGGTGATCAAATTTTTGGCTGCTGTCACTTTGGTAGAGTGTAGATGTGATATGTTTTTCTTAATATACACAAACCGAAAACAATATATAGTTGAATGAAATTTCTTCTCACATCACTTACGTATACACACAGTTTGTTATCTTAACACTTTTCGTCTCACACCACTTATCTCTTACACACTAATGTAAATACATACTTTAACATTGCTAGCGTTGATTGATAACTTATTCAGTATACAGTAAACCAGAGAACCATGTACCTATTTATATTCGATAATTTTGTTGTTTGATTATATTTTCCTTGAAAAAGCTTGGACCAGTTTGTCAGGCGAAACGTTGGATTTACTTAAAATTCATTCGCTGAGATTGTACAAATATATATTCTCCCTCTTTAATGACTCACATTAACTCAGCGCCCAAATATTGTGAAACTATTCGTTCAAATTTAGACAAAAGTTCTTATTTATAATTCTTTAAATAAGTTTTAAACAACACTGTCGATTACACGTAACCCAGAAAAATTGTCAAAAATGGTACAGATGAACAATCTCCAACGATATCACCGAAAGTTAAATGAACTGAGCAAAACTTTTCCAAATTTCAAACTTCCACTTATATTGCTTCTTTTGAACCTAGAAGCAGTTTTGAAGGACTTTACCTCGCGACTTATTTACCTGGTCCTGGTAATGCTGTGAATATTACCCATTAAATGAAGATCAATCATACTACTCAGTAGATTATAGTCCGAGGAGTAGTGTTTAAATTAATGAGATCCGTATGCGTAAACCATTGAGTCACAAAAAAGTGTAAATTAGTGCATTCATGACCCACACGCCAGATCCAATGTTAAATAGTCGACAATAACGAATAGTTAACTAAACCAAAAGGATAAAAGTGACTTAGAACAAAGGGTTCGGTAACTGTAAATCAAGCCAATGTATTGCACCAATAATGTTTAGATCTTTACTCGATGTTTAACTGCCTCATAAACCTTTAAGTTAACTTAAAAGTTAAAGGTGATTCTGTGTCAGTGAACTTCTTTCAAACAAACACCGAATTATGGTACAATAAAGAATACTAATAAAGTACAGTATTCCAAGTTCCCAGATTTCCCAAACATTATAGCTGATTAATTAGCAGTGCTCCGGAAGGTTTTAAAGGTCATAGCTGGGAATTTTAATAGCCAGTCTAGTTATTTCTAAACAACTACTTTGAGGCTGATTTGTCGACAAGTTAGTAAAAGAAGTTTGACATCTCATTAATAAAATAAGAAACATGCCTTTCCGATAGATTGATATACAAGTATTACATATATTTTATATCTGCACACACTTTAATGCAGTTAAGTTTAGGAACTTTCGTCCGAAGAATTTTTCATTTTGCAACCAAACAACATATAGTTTAGAAACCGAAAATAAGTACACACAATTGTATGCGTGGTCTAGAAATTACACCTACATATGAGAAATAAATATTCAATCAATCACCAAACTCCAAATCAATAATGCTAATTATGGTGAACAATATCATGTTACCTCACATTCACATTACATAGTGATATTTAAATATTTTCTTTTCAACACAGAACAGAACAAAATGTAAGAGTTTAGAATCAATGAGACAGCAGAATCATTGACCCTTAAATAGCTAGTTTGCTTGACCAAGACATCTAAAGAACAATAACACTGTAAAACAAAAACAAATCAAAAATTGATGAGGAAGCCTAACTGAGATTCAGCAGTATCAACTTCGGGCCACTGTAATAGTCCCTACTCCATAGATTAATATTACAAATACATTTGCAGCTGGAGAAAGTTAAGAGATATATTAAATAACTTATCTTTCACAACAAAAACCAAATGTTTGATTTTGAAAACTGTCATCTGCTAGCTGGTCAGGCCATCTCTCTTATCTTTATACTTCAACTTGCCATACTGTTATATATATATATATATATATATATATATATATATATATATATATATATATATATATATATATATATATATCCAGGTGATATTGTGATTTTAGCATCTATGTATATCCAACCACTAGCTTTTTGATCTGTTTCAACAGACTGGACGTTACTGCTAATAGAATAGTGAATATTAGCAAATAAGCATTAAAAGGATATGGTAGAATGAAAACGATGTTCTAATTACATAAGGCGCTTCAAGAGATCCTTCATCACTAAAAATGAAGCTTTAAAATTTCATTTGGATGCCTAACCCAACATATTAGTTAAATCAATAATAATTCGTGATGATATTACAATAGGAATGAGCCGTTCACGTAAGATGTGGTGCTTATATCCTCCGAAGACTAGAATGTCTTTAAGTATTCGTCAATGAATAAAGTACTCAGTAAGCTAAATGCGAGAATTTATGAAGCATTAATTTTAAGACTGAGAGAAAAATATGCATGAATTAAACCTAAAATTGTACGTAGTTGGAATATAGCATCAAAGAAAATTTTTACGGAAACACCTCCGTACACGAGAAAATTCATGTAAACAGGACAGGAAATAAATACGCGATATTACTAAGTCTACAGATTTACATTTCTTATACAATACTAGTATTGTTTTACAAATACACTGACAGGAACTCATTGTCAGAACACCTGAAGGTAAGTTTGTTAAAAGTGCAAATCTAAAAACCCACCTCTATAGAACGCATTTGATCCTCCTGATTTAACGCTAGTCCCAATTCCTGAACTTCATAATCTTGGGAGGTGCAGATTTGTGCTTGAATAAACTGGCCTGCATCAGTATCACTTGAATCCAAATTAATCAAATCTCCAACAATTGAGGAAGTTGGACGACTTTCAGTAAGCAGTCGCCTTTTGATTTCCTAATCCAAAGAATGGTCAGAAATCGTACAATATAAGTGGGCTTACAAAAGGCTTTATAGTGGTATTAAAAAGAATACATATAACTGGGATGTTTTAATTCCGAAAACTATTAGAATTACTGTTTTAAAGAATGTGACTGCTCTTAACCGCAATTCCACGAGTCGTTTTACATTATATACGAGTATCCCCTTGTACTGACCCTTAGATAGTAGTACGTTTACATGAGTAAAAGACAATTTGTCCAAATGAGCAGTATCACACCACCAGTCACGATAAAAAGAACATCACATTTGTGAAGGTTGTGATGGGAAGTGGTTTTTATTTTTCTCCGTTAGTGTTATGCCCCGATAAAAATCAATGGTAATTTTTGGGATCCATTTGTGGACTAATACTATACGTATATTTTTACCGTATAATTGTTAATTAACTAAACCATTCATATTCATGTCTCTCTTATCATAAGCCTTATTTAACCCATGAACTGTTATTATACGATTTTCCATTCTTGAATTATTCCCTGTCTATTAGCCACTGCCTCCCTCATTCACAGCCACATCTGGCTAATTCTTGTGCAAATGTTGTTTCATATTTTATTGGTACGTTGTGGTCTGTTTGATTGGTATATAAACTCAGTACGTTTGAAATATAATGATTCATACGCAGAGGCTGAGATTGGCGTTCTGGACTTAACAGGCTGGGCTAGGTGGAAAGCAAGACCAACCAGAACTCTAGGCTGCTCATACGGGTTTACGAGTCATTGTTCCGATCGATAAGTCACTGCTCTCTAATCGGCGTTCACAAGTTATAACAGTTAGATACAAACAACGAAACCAAAACACTCTATCGTCCACTCCATCTTCCAGTACTAGTCAATACGAGACTTTGTTTAAAAAACATGAAGTATTTACACAATCTATAAATTCTGTCCAATTACACTAGAATCAGATGGTAGTAACATTATCCCGATTTCCAACTGATTTCATGAAACATTCAAGTGATAGAACTATCTTGCACGTAATTAACGTTATAGAAACCTTGAAAGATCATAATCTAAGCATAAAATTTCTATCAGATGGGTTTTGTGGATATTATAGTAATTTCAATGGTTAAGATCATGAGTCAGTTGAAGCTAGACCACCATGGAAAACCTGGAAGCACTGGACCGCCGTTTCGTCCTATTGTGGGACTCCTTAGCAGTGCGCATCCACGACCTCGCCCCTGCGAGATTCGAACCCAGGACCTACTGGTTTCGCGCGCGAGCACTTAACCACTAGACTACTGAGTCGGCATCCAACAGTGTTAATGTCTAACTTCAACTAATCCACGAAATTGAGCGACACATCCACCATTGTCTTCAGTGATTTACTATCTCACAACAGACCTGGTTATACTCCACTGGTCACTACTTCTCACTAGAACTCCAGGATATACCTCGTGAAGCCAACATATGCTCACTAGTGACTGACTAAATCTGCTAAATCGAATTTTTTGTGATGGCTTTAATTTCACTAAGTGGTTTTAATGATTACCATCTTTTATATTATTGATCAGAAGTTACTAGCTGTCATTTCATTTACATTTATTGATCGACCAGCATCCTTTTTATATTTCGACCAGACAACTCTCAATTAAAATTACTACGCTCATTTTAGGCAGATTTTATTACCATAATCTCATACATAAAATGGCATTGTTCCCCTTATCGTATGATTACATTTATATACAATGATCCAGCTCAGCAAAGTATTCCCTGGTTAAACCACGTATTTCATGATTTCAATGTCCCAGAAAGTTTGCCGCTGTTAAGCATACACAATAAGGTTTATTAATCACTGTACTTACGACGCTTTTAGACACAATGAAAAGTCCCAGAATTATAAACATTTCGTCATTTTTATGCTTTAGTTTCTAGTGATTTTTAGAACTATACTCTAGTCATTTATTATTTAATTCTTCCTATATTCAACTGTAATGATGAATGTATTGTTGAAATGATGATCTGTTGTTATAGCATTAATTGTAGCAGACAATACGCAAGTACGTTTCACAGTCATAACAACATGACGTTAGACAGTTTTGCTATGCTTTGTTTATCAGATCAGCTGGTATTTATCACATTTTGAGACTTGTCAGTCAATATTTTGATAATAATGTGTATTAGCCAAACCCGACACTCATTCTAAAAACATACAAAGTGAATGCATTACAAAATGAGGATTATGAACGATTAGAACTACCGTGAACAGTTTTCTGTCTTATACCTCAATACTCTCAGTGAGTCCTGGCACGTTCAGCCCCTACTGCATACCTTAATCATTAACTACACATTTCGGAAATAGAATTATGTACCTGGTAGCTTGATGGAAATTTCAACCTAGTTAGCCTGAATCATTTTTTTGAATATATTGCTTTCCAGTAAATAGGTGATGTTTTATGCACTAAATTGTGAATCTTTTAAGATCAGGAACTAAATTATTGACGATGTCATCTTATATATTAAAGCCCACAGGTACTCCAGCATCATTTTACAGAAAAACGCAAAACAAACCGTTATTTTTCCTTCAGTTTGATCAGAATAACTTTCTAGTCGTTTTTACGTAGTGAAATCGCCTTTTGTAAACTGAGTCAACTAGAGGACTCCTATTATATTAATTTAACTCAGGAAGGTTGAATTCGAGTAAACCAACTAAATTAGTACGTAGGGGACAAAGGCGACTACTAGTGGTAACAACGCAAATTTTTGATGAATGCCACTCAATTATCACTGTACGAAAATTCTCTAAAAGCACTTACACCACCCCATAATTTAGGAAAAACTACTGCCAGTGGTAAAACATGCTGGTATGTTATTTTTTTAGATCAGACTCATAAAACCCTATATCTTACAGCAGGAGACAAAGTTCAAGTAAAATCAAAGATTAGTGGTAGGCAACAGTGAACCAACGTCCTAGGAACTGAATAAAATTGGGGGAATGATCAACAAACTAAGTTTGAGCTAGATATCTAGATGGTTTATCATGTTTTCTATACAAGAACCTCAATTAATTACCGAATGAGTGCAAATGGGAGCTTTCTGTGCTGTTCAACAAAACTAGTTTATCTGAAGTTATAGAAATAACCTTTGCCCCTTCGTTAAAACCAGTGCTCGCTGAATAGAAACAACCATTTGTAGGCTGTTACTGTCATGTCCTTGCCACCAGATTAAATGACCTAAATATTTACTTAGATCTATTGTTTATAGACTTCTGTAAACAAACCATGAGCTGCTGAGATATCAATGTGACAGTTTGATTATAACGATTCTAATCTTAGTAAAAATTTAAGGAGAGATGACGTCCTCTAAAAACAGAAATGAAACACACTGCATTGGACATGTTACCACGTTCCTAGGGCAACCGCAAACGAAGGACCAAATGAAAATCATTTAGATAGTCGCCAAACAAAAATTAGGACGTTGAACAAATAGTTGATACTTGTAAGCTATCAATAACTGGATTATATCCCCAATCTCACAGCAAGTACAGTGTACAGTTCTCAGGATAGACCTGAACATAGTTTGATATTAAAACACTGGCACTTTAGAGCTCACAAAACGTGGACAGAACTATATGTCGAGAATCATAGAAAGAAATAACTATTCAAAAAGCTTTCACCAGACTTCTTAGCAAATAAATGTCATTATTCCTAAAGAATTTTACCGTATTTATTAACTTGTTAGCATAATGCTGAACGACAAAAAAATTCACCCCCAAAACTGACTGAAACCCTAAATAAGGATGCCAGGAAAACTCACAGCTTGAGTTCTTTGAAACCGATGAAGCACACGCTGAAAGTCAACTTTGAGCTTCTCAACATGAATTTTCGTTATCTAGAGCTGATCTAAACCATAGGAAAAACCATACCTGATCCGATAAAGGCTGCTTTGAAAGGTTAATGAACACGTTTTTGGTATCGTCAACTAGCTCCAGGGCATCTTTTTCTCTTTTATTACTACAACAAACATTTAAAAAACAAAAAAGCATACAGAAGGTCGGATTGAGCCTTTGAATTTCCTGTTATGCTTATGCTTTTGTTCAGCGTTTCCAACTCATTTGCTACTCGAATATTTAGGCATTCGAAAAATAACATACCCAGTAGACGTATTTTAAGTATCTTCGAGGAGATATCTTCAAAAACCTGGATGACAGCAGTAGTTTCTGTGATAATAAAATCTTCCAAAGCACAAACATACGTGAAGAAGATCCCGGATTACTACTGAATTCACTATACATCGTCAATCATTGCATTTCCATTGACGGCAATAGCTTAAGTCAGTAACTTCTAAACTGAGAAAACCGGACACTGGCCTTGAAGAACTGAACTGACCGCGACAAGTTAGGTATTCCTCACCATTCCAATGATGAAACAAGTCGTGCAGGATCCTAAGTAATAACAACTTGAAACAGGAAACAGCTAATCTAGGGTGAACCGTCGAAACAGTGAGAAACAAAAAAATTCATGGTGCAGATATTAAAATCAGGCTGAGAATCAGTGTATGGAGTTCAAATTAGGTATTAGAGTTGTAGGGCTAGTGAAATGTCACTGCGCCCGAGCCAAATCATCCAGAAGTTGGGTCACTGAATATCGAACAGATCATTGACAACCAACGCTCATCAGTTAATCGTATGCCATAGACTGGCCAATGCAGTGACGGTCTCTCTATCTTTTCTGTACTCATTCCTATCAATATATTTCCGGAATAACGTCCTTTGTGTTGTACGGTCTTCGAATCATCCACAGTACCTTGATACGATAAAGGGGTAATCTACGTCAGGTGCCGACCGCAAGATGGGATTTTGACGTTATCTGTTTGTCACACCATCCCCGTCTAACTCGAGTAGGTCCCCAATCATTCGACATAGTCCATCTACGTTGGTGAACAAAGAGTTTTAGTCACGAACTGTCATCATCTACAATCGCAAAACCTAGAAGAATATCCGTATCCCTATTTCTAGCATAACAAATCATTCATCCTCTTTTTACAAATGCCTGTAAATATTGACGTCCGAGGATATAAATTATGTTGAATATGAAGAGAAATACTTCCATCTACCAATCTTCCGCTAAAATAAGTGATAAAGAATCCTAGAGTGGACCTGAATCACGGCCATATTAGAGTTTTAGAATTTGATGACTGTAATGTTCATCCAATTAGAAGTTCTACTTTAATAATCCACTTAAACTTAAATAATGTTTTTAAAGAAGAGAACACACTGAAAACCCCTCCAGAGCATTTTATTGGACAATATTTTCATTTATCTGTTTCTTCTCTTTGTTATGCATCATAAACTTGATTCAGGTCTCTTGTTAATGCACTTTATGTTCTACAGTCATTCTTGTCGAGGCTTTTGTTTTTTTTTATCCTAATCAAAGACGTATGTCTTATTACTTAGTTTACTGTTGCATGTTGCTAAACTATAGACAGTTAGGTTGTGCTTGACTAAACTCAAGATCACGTTATGGTTCAGTGTATGAATTTTGACCTTGGCAGCCTGCTTGGAAGGGTTGCGGAAATCCTTGAACTTATCAGATACGGAACTTTTGTAGGAAAGTACTGAAACCAAATAAATTGTTTCCCCTCTTACCACATTTAGTGACACAAATAACCCATTATTTTTACGGTAACGTAAGGCGAAATAGCACAACTCATAAAAGTATGAATCTAGTTCGGACTTATAGTTCTTGCTGAAACTCGTTTCCCATCTGATGTCACTGACAACTGAACAAGCATGGAAGCAAATGTTACTGCTCGAACGTGAAGTGTAAGTGAAATAGAAGTTGAAGTTTTGTAGTGATATTGGTTCCTAAACGCACGATTTTTGAAGATATGTATAACTACTGAGGAGATTCATACTCAACATGTAACATCAAGAGCAGGTCAACGGTGGTGAACGCGGCAGGAAGAAATCGAGGTGGTGTGACTCGGTCATACAGGCGCGGACACCATAACCTCTTTCCTTTTGCATCAAATACATTACTTTCCTCCTAGCTCAAATGTGTTCTTCAGAAATGCTAGAGGTCATATTACTGACAGTAACGTAGGACGAGTCAGTGTAGTGAGTGACACGACTCCCAGGTAAAATCTTATGGATTGGATAGTCACATTACGAAAAATCTAAAATTTTGGGATTATGTCTATTATTATAGTAGTACTAATACCGTAGTAGACCATAACTCTACAGCGTATTCACACACAGTCGATAAATCACTGCCAGAGCTTCCATGTACCTTATGTCTACAAAACTCAAGAATCAGGGAGTTCAGCGGGTTAATGTAGACATTACAACACCTGCGGTTCAATCCCGTACTTCACGCTGTACACTCGAGCCATCACTCAGCAAACCACGCAATCATAGTTGTCTTGTCTCTAGTGTGATTGAATAAACACCTCACTGATACTATCAAGACCGTGGGTTTGTCAAGGTTTAGTAGATACAAATGAGATTTACGAAAAGCATGGCTACATGAAGTCCGATAACCAACCTACAGTCGATAAATGTCTGTGTTCAAGAGAACTACGCTCATTTTCAACAACGTCACGAAACGCTATGTGGAAGTAGTCAAGATCAACTCGTCTACACGTTTATGACAGAGAATCCCAAACATAACCAATGGTCTTAGAAGTGGCGGAAATCATCGCACCTTGAATAAAGTCCGAAGCCATGTCAAATAATAAAGGACTGGTCATGTAAGAGAAAATGCTGCTTGATGTGAGCCACAGAGTTTTCTTCAAGTGAAAAAAACCTAGAATAGACTGCATTTTTGTTTCATGTATTCTGGCTATGCCTTTTGTCTGACGCCACGAAATGAACTCAACACTAGGACACAGACCTACAGAAAGCCTCTGAAGCCATGTCAGCCAACCAGATTCAAGTTAACCTAAAATACACTAATCTGTCCATAGTTCTTGAGGTCTAGTGGGTCTCTAGAAGGAAGTAATTATAAGGGATTATTTGTATACCAGTGTGTAAGTTACTAATTCACCAACTGGGACCCTATCAACTAGAGACAGGTCGGAAAATGGCCATTTCCTGTAAAATTTTCATATGGACTGAACAAATTCAACATATCATAAATCAGCTGCACTATCAACCACATTCTCTAACCTTGCAAAACCTCCTGACCATAGTCAGATGAAGGAGTACGATAACAAAACTCTTCATGCAGCACTCAGTCCAGTAAGTGCAGACCATATGATTCTAACCTCCTTTTGACATTCGACATATAGATGGCCGACAGGGACTAGAATGAGGAGGCACATATAATAGTTCTTTGTTTGTCAGAGGCGTTTAACTTCTTTCTGTCAACATTCCTGATTACGAAAGCAGTGAAAGTTGACCTCAGTGATCTACCTTTACCCATATTTCACATTGGGCTGGGAAAATATTCCGTGTCAAGGTAAACAGATTTCTGAGAATGGGAAAGATCTCCATCCGCAGTTTCACAGTGTGTCATTTTGTAGCTCCACATCTCGCTCTTATGAAAGATCTTCCTGAAAAACTTTACTTTACTAGCATTCAGTTCATCCGTTGACGTCAAGATTTGAATAACAGTTAAGAGGGAAGCGAATCCTCAGGATATTTTGAGGAAACTCTGGTCGCTGAAGAAATGGGAAGGATTTACAGCCGAAGTTTGCATCAAGAGGGGACGTTCGATAAACATATACGTCGACATGGTCTTCCGTTCTCTCAAAGAACAGAGATTAGACTGAGTACACCAACAGATAAAATCGCCCTCCACTCATCAGTCCGAACGTACTCTACATTGTCACTTACTTTCTAGGAAATAATAAAGTATTTGGCTGATTAGTAGCAGTTATAGTGAGTATCTCTAAGTTAACTTTGTTTTGGATACATTTAATTCACTCGAAACTTCAATTTGTTTGTTGATATCTTTGGCCTAGGAAGTTTTCGGCTTCACTCATTTTTTGGATTGGGTGTTTGAAAGTTTCTCTCTGAAAACCTAAAAGTTGAAGAACAAAATATTTAGGCTGAGTACTTGTAGTTTTCGAATGATCTATGTTATCTAAACTGGAATTCGGCTCTCCTGTAATTTGGATCGTAAGCTACGAGAGGATCAGTCGACCGAGCTCCAAAACAGACTAGAGTAACATGTAGACGCTAGACCTTATTCATTGACATTATAATCACCATCCTTATGGTTGTTACTTGCTTATTATTTCTGTTTTGGTCCCTAGAGGAAATCTACTTTTAACGGATTCACATGATGATAAAGCTTCGCCTACTTTACTTATCGCCTTCTATTATTGAGAAGATCAACTGTTCGATCCCTAACCCCATGACTGACTGTAAACGTTTACCAATTTTAATTAAGGCCCAGGCGAGAAGTCTTTAGTTATATACGTAGAAATCACATGCATAAATATATTTATATCTCTTTAGAGTCTAAATTTTCCTTAGGTTGAGGATGAAGGTCAAGAATGAAAAATCTTCACTAAAATCTTCTTGCTCTCTTGTTGAGAGGTTGCTTTCTTTCCACATGACTAACAATGGCAGCCCGTATAATATTTTTCACTAGATTGACATCTAAACTGGCTAGACTAAGTGCCTGATAGTCATCGACTAGGCATTTATCCACCACTACCACTGTATTGTGGACTGAATCACTTGTCCTATCCTTCCGATCCACTGACAGTTTAGAGTGACTCAGAGACATGTCAAACAATTTTGTCAGCGGCTCGACAATAATATCATTCAGAACTCCTACGATTCGAAGACGTGCATCGCCAAAATTGTTAGCCACCTCCCAGAAAACAAGTTCATACAGCAGAGGGTAGCTGCACGAATAATGGCACAACTATTCTCAAGGTGGTAACTGATGTGCTGAGAGCGTAGAGGTATTTCACAGGCATGTTAAGTTCCTTCTTTGTATTTCCATTTATCCTCATATTGGTGCCGATTTTGAGTTATTCTGTATTACATTCCTTAGTAAAGGAATATAGTGTGTTTATTCAAGCTAGGTTTGTTACCGTAAGGTGTTATATGATCAGGATCGTGTCTTTAATTATTATTTAAACGATGTTTTGGTTTGTTCATGGTAGGTTTTATTCAAATTTTACTGCATGGGATGTCTAATGACAAGGAAGTCTTCGCTACCATTTGATTTTGAGAATACAAAACTTCTAGGTCTTCAAAAATGTTGCCTTTGCCTCTTTTTCTTGGCAACCTTATTACTAGAGAGCAAGTCACCATCTACCATTTACTGATTATTTGTTACATGCCTTAGTGGAGCAGCATCAATATTTATTTTGCTGGTACTCCTGCCAAGAGCCACATCTTTTGATAGAATGTCACTGCACCGCCCTGCTACTATTTTTCTACTTGCGCTATTTTGTTTCAGGTTCTCTGACGTTATGCAGATTGGTTA